TTATATAGCTTGGGATCAAAAAATCCTGAGCACGCCGACGAAGAATTATCCGTCAATAGTTTGGGATTCAAATATCCTGAACCCGCCGTCGTTGAATTATCCGACACTAAAAGTTCGAATAGTTTGGGATTAAAGAATCCTGAACACGCCGTCGTTGAATTATCCGACAATGAACAATTTAAAAGTTTGGGATGCAAAAATCCTGAACGCGCCGTCGTAGAAATATCCGACATTCAAAATTATGCAAATTCTGAATTGAAAAAAATGAAATTGTATAACACAATAACCTACAAAGAGGACAATTTAGAAAATCTCAGAGAGAAAATGGTATCTATCATCGAAGAAGACCATGCCAATATAAATTTACAGTTACCGTTCAGAACGGATATAAAAGGAGAGATTAACACTGAACACGATAGACCGGTATATGGCAAGCAGTATCCATACGCTTATTCGGTTAACGATTTCGTTAATAACGAAATAAGTAAAATGTTAGATGAAGGTATAATCAGACCTAGTAAAAGCCCATATAATTCACCGGTAATAGTAGTACCAAAGAAGGGAGTAAATAAGGACGGAACTCCTAAGCATAGATTAGTAATAGACTTTAAGAAACTTAATGAAAACACTATACCGGATAGATACCCTATGCAAGATCCTTCAGTAATCCTTGCCAATTTAGGTAAAGCAAAATATTTCTCGGCCATTGATTTAGAGTCAGGTTTCTATCAGATTTTAATGAGGGAATCAGATATTGAAAAAACATCTTTTTCCATAAATAACGGCAAATATGAATTTCTAAGAATGCCTATGGGATTGACGAACGCTCCCAGAATTTTCCAAAGGGCAATGGACGATATACTTAGAGAACAAGTTGGGAAAACTTGTCACGTTTATATGGACGATATAATAATATTTTCAAAAACTATAGAACAACATTATAAAGATCTAATTCATATAATTCAGATATTGCAAAACGCTAACATGAAAATTTCACTAGAAAAGTCTAAATTCTTTCAATTGGAAACCAAATTTCTGGGATACATTGTTTCCCAAAATATCATTAAAACAGATCCAGACAAAATCTCCACAATACAAAACTATCCAATTCCTAAAAATATCAGAGAGCTACGTAGCTTCTTAGGACTAACAGGGTATTACAGAAAATTTGTCCGAAATTATGCCACAATTGCCAAACCTTTAACAAAATATCTGAGCGGAGTAAATGGGAAAGTTTCACGAAGGGCATCCAAGAAAGCATTAATACAGCTGGATGAACCAGCAATTGGAGCATTTAATAATTTAAAGGACAGTTTAATAGCACATATTGAATTAGTACAACCAGATTACAATAAAAAATTCACATTAACCACAGATGCATCGGACATAGCAATAGGTGCAGTTTTGTCGCAAGATGGGAATCCCATAACATTTATTTCTAAAACTTTAAGTAAAACCGAGCAATTATATGCTACTAATAAAAAAGAATTATTAGCTATTGTATGGGCATTAAAAAATTTGCGAAATTATTTATACGGAGTGAGTGGAATTGAAATACATACAGATCACCAACCTTTGTCCTTTGCAATGTCGCAAAAAAATCCAAATGTTGAAATGAAACGTTGGTATTACTTCATAGAAAGTTTCACACCAAAAATCATTTATAAGCCAGGCTCAACTAACGTAGTAGCGGACGCGTTATCTCGGATTAAAATAAATCATATGACAGATAGTGATGTCGACCAGACAGAATCAGAATCAGACATAAATACTCAGCATTCAGCAGAGAGTAGTTTCGAAAACGTCATTCAAGAGACTAGCAAGCCTCTAAACCAATTTAAACAGCAGCTACTATTAGCGCAAGGGAGATTCACAGTTCATGAGTTAGTAAGAGTTTATGAAAATACCCGACATATTATTGAATTTGATACGGTTGACAATCTGCTAATCATTTTAAAAGAATTTATTCAGCCTCACTTAACCACAGGAATACACTGCACTTTAGAAGATTTATACCTTATCCAAAATAAGCTAAAGGAAAACTTCATAAATAAATTTCTCTTCACGAGAAAGTTCCTTCAAGATGTAGTAAATTCAGAAGATAAAGCTATAATTATAGAAGAAACACATTGCAGAGCCCATAGAGGACTAGACGAAAATTACAAACAAATAACTAAGCTGTATTATTGGCCAAACCTGCACAAAAAATTAAAAGAATATATAAAAAATTGTGAGATCTGTAACAAAAACAAATATCAGAGACACCCTGTAAAAATTCCAATTGGGGAAGCTCCCATTCCAGCAAAAGAAGGAGATCAATTACACTTAGACATATACTATGCCCAAAACCTAACATTCATAACTTGTATAGATTCTTATTCCAAATACTTGGTGGTCAAGGAAATTCAAAGTAAATTAAACATTGAAAATAAGGTAATGGAAATTTTACAACACTTTCCGTTAGCAACATCATTAATGACTGACAACGAACCAAGCTTTACTTCAGCACAATTTAGATCATTCATACAAAGAAGTAACTTAACTATTTATTATGCTGATCCCAGACACAGCACCTCAAATGGTCAGGTAGAAAGGGTACATTCCACACTAACAGAAATAGCGCGGTGCATCAAGGATGAACTAAATCTAACAGATTATTCAGAAATAATAATAAGGGCGGCACTGAAATATAACCTGACGATACATTCAACGACCAATCAAATGCCATATGACATATTGTATAACAAAATAGAACACAAACATAATCCAATATTACTTAAGGAAGCTCAGACCAAAATGCTTAAGATACATAACAAAGATAGAAGAGAAAAAGATTATAAAATAGGAGAAGTAGTCTATGAAAAGAAATTCGGGGAAAGAAATAAACTACAATCCCGATACAAAAAGCAGGTAGTTAAGGAAAATCGACCGAATAAAATTATAATCAACAATAGAAACAGAATTATACATAAAGATAACATCAAATATTAAATATTTTTTCCAGAAAATGTATGCGAATATACTAATACTGACTTTTGTTATATTGACGACTGCGGAAGTAATTGACTATACGCATAGTGACTATCTATTGCTCAAAGACGACAGAGACGTTTACACTTATGAAACATACGCTGAACTTTTCCATATTACTAATTTGAGTTTTTATAGAGAGATAATTGATAAAGAATCCAAATATGTCAACAAATCAATTAATTCAGACGATGAGTGGGAAATATCAATGGACTTAAGTCTATTAAAATTAATGATTTCAGAATTAGTTCCAAAACGGAAAGAAAGGGGAATAAATGAATTAGGTACCATTTGGAAATGGATAGCAGGCAGCCCTGATCATGACGACTTTTTGAAAATACAAAATAAAGTAAATGAATTAACTGAAAATAATAATAAACAATTTGTAATAAATTCCAAATTTTTCAAAGAAATTGAATTGCTATCAAATTCATTAAAGAATGTCATCTTCAATGAAGAAACGATACTGAGAAAGCATCGTTTAAAATTAATAACTTTTGACCTACTAAATTTAGTTGATACCATAACCCTCTTAAAAGTAAACATTTTCAATACAAAAATTTTAAATAAAAACGAAATAGAGGACATTTATAAGCATGAAAAACATAATGTTGAACTGTCTGATCTGTTGGACATTGCAACGGTTAAAATAATTCGAAATGCAGATTTAATAATCATTTACATAAAATATCCTCAAATTAAAGATATTTGCAAGTTTTACCATGCAAGAGCCATCTCACAAAATGATGGAATGTTAGTTATAAGTGAAAAAGTTTGTGAATGTAAGGAGAAATACTATTTAATGAATAATTTTAAAAGTGAAACTTTTAACAATTACGCACAAATAAATTTAAAGAGTACCTGTTTCACCAATTTACTTAATGGCTTTAAAGCCAACTGCACTAAAAAAAGGGAAAAAAACAAAGAAATAGACATCATTCAGGATGGTGCCATATTAGTTTCAGGCAAAAATATCGTAGACAATACTACTTTGTTAGGATCGTATCTCCTTATATTCAACAACACAATTGTAATAAATAATATAACCCACATAAATGATAAGGGTAAAATTCTAAAATATATATCGCATCATAGATATAGCGATTTTGAATTAGTCGATTATATACAATCGAATGATAAGCAATTTTCTTTTGATAATGTTAATATTTTAAATCCCCTTATAACATTAGGTAATACGGCCTTACCATTAACAACATTATTTTTAATCATTTTGATATTGTTAATGTTATTTTACTTCGGCTATAAATTAACCAAATGTGTACTTATTAAATCAATAAGAATACCGTCAGAAGAAATAGTGGAAAGCAACATTCAAATACTGTCAGAAGAAATTAGAGCTCTATCAGAACTTCAAAATGTATCGGGACGAAACATTTAAGAATGGGGGGAGTTAACGTACCCAATTCCATTGAGCTCTTATACGAGTTGTAAACAATCTTTGGCTTTCCAAAACGAAAACAATTTCAATCTTGGGCCTCCGCCTAATTGATTTCTAAGATGTACAATCTCAAGCGCCCCCGCCGCAACCCCAATCTTTGACACTCGCCTAAATGGAAAACCAATGTTTGCCCACACCCGGCTTCTCATAAACAATCTCACTCCCGGCTTTCTGCAGATCCTGCACTTTAGGCCTTTTACAGTTCTCTCTTTGGATGACGAAATCCAATACTCGGGATGGCGAAATCAATTGAAATGTTTATAGAAAAACGATTCCCGAAAGGGATCAACGATGCAAAGATCAGAAAGTTCAAATCAGTCTTGATCCAGCAGCGACACCGCAAAGTCTAGCTCAATATTAAGATCGCGCAATCCCTTGCCCGGAATTCCTTTGTGACCCTCTACTTAAATCTATATCAGTGAAGTTCGAAGTAAAATAAAAACTTTTTAAAAACACAATCCGCTACCGCTATTGTTTAATTTGTATGTAAAGTGTCAGAGGGAACACACACCGAAAAGCGCGCGTCGCGCGGCTGCTTCAAATAAAAACGATTTTGGTTTTTATTTTATTTATTTTTTTGGCGGCAGCAAGAAGCCAAAAGAGACGCTGCTTCGGCGTGGGTGACTTCGACTCCGAACGAATCACGAAGATTTAAGTTTCGTACTAAGGCGCACGGACACGTCCAAACACGTCGCCGGTCGAAAGAAAACTAGAAACGAACGACGAGGGCAGAGCGCGCGCCACGCTGAAGTCCACGGAAGCGACTGCCGGGCCAGCCAGCTATAGTATAACTTCAGCGGCATTTCGGTATATCATGGAATACTTTTAGCGGCCGGCACAAAATGGTCGCGTATTACTTATGCTACGGTTTTTTGAGCAGCCACTCTCTGGTAGTCTGGTAGTATTTGCCAAGATTTTCCGGAAAGCGGCCTTTCAAGCGTTTTCCGTGTGTGTCTGTTTTATTTACAAGGTATTCGTGGTCACCAAGGGTATGTTAGACACGTGCGAGAGTACAGCCAGAAAGCATTATTGATAAAAAAAAATCCCTGAGCCCCGAATAGTTACACTAAGATTTAAATATTTAACAAATGCCATTCTATTTACCACGAGAGTGGAAATTTTAATAATGTAAACATTTCTGATCAAATATATTTATTTATTTATTTTTCCTTGAAATTTAGTACTAGCGGGCCAGCCCGCCTTGCTCATGCGCCAACCCTCGGCTCACTCGCTTCTCTCGCTCGCTCCGAAATGAGTAAAATATTGGATGACGGCCACCAAAACTTTTTTATGTAAAAGATTGTTTAAAATCTTTTTTATATTTAGATTCAATATGCGCTTTATTATAAAGACTTTTATACATTTTGTATTTAAATCAATGTGAATTATATTTAATTTCAATATGTGACTGTTTAAAAAACAAGTATTTAATTGAAATATGTATGTATGTGTCCTTTTTTTGGCTTACATTTATAGGACGATCATTCTAATATCTTGAGTAACCGAAAAAGGAACAACTTTCCTCTCCATATCTGCACTTTAAGAAGATTTTATGTAAGCATATCTATCCATCTAGCTATCCATACAAAATCATGGCTCTCATAAGACTCTTACAGATTTCTGTCTTCCGAAAATATAACCATGATGGAAAGATATGTAATTTCAAAAGCACTTATTCATTTTCCACTTATGATAATAGCACTCTTTGAATAGTGCCCAAATAGCTAGGTATCTCGCAGTCGAAGTGTCGTGGCTCTAGTGCTTTTACTTGCTTCCGTCTGGAATTTTCAACCCTTAGGCACAGACACAGACCAGGACACATTTGCACAGACACATTATACACCCCCACGGAGCTATGTATGTCCCCAGTGGGATACAATAGGGATAGACACGACACACGTGCAACTGTTGTGGAGGGTGGCTCTGTTTTCTGTTTCGTCTGGCTATTGTCGTATGCATATTGCATTTGATTGATGCAATATACAATTTCCCTAATGAACTCGAAAATATTGACCTAATATGCATAACTAAAAGGTCTGTAATTTAATGTTTACACGAGGGAAGGATAGGGGAGGGAAACTAACTAAATGTGAATATTAGTTTCATGGGAAAGATTTTAATTGTCATGGAGTCTGGCTTGGCTGACCAATGGAAAACTCTTAATAGTTCTAATCCAACAGCAGGTGCAGCTACCACAGAACAGCTGCCTCTTAGAAGGGGTTTCGAGAGCTCTAGTCCAAGGCAGGAGAAGTGCGGCCTATACACGTACGTACATATGTCCAGAAACAGTTGCTGTCCCACAGCTGCTTTAATTAAGTTTAATTTAAGGCGACAGGCATACACCGATGCATTTGGGGCTCTGCAGGCATTGGCCACTAGTATATGCTGATATTGATGATGCTCTCTAAATGTCTATTTCAGATGCCGCCGATTAGCCTAATGCCCCAATGGAACTTTAAGTTTAACCCATTGCTGGGCACGTGGCTGGGCATTGGCATGGGAATGGGAAAACGAATGGATGATTCGTTGCGTTGCTCTTGGGACTGCTGCTACTGCTACTGCTGCTGCTGTTGCGACTGTTGGGACTCCTCCTGAGGCAGTGGTCTCTCCGTGGGTGCTATTTTTGGTTAGACGCTCGCTCTCGATCGCGAAAAGCAGAAGACACCGTAGCGCAGAGAGGCAGCAGCGTAGCGTACGGACGGATCGTCACTCCGGCGTAGCACAAATTCGGCTTTTCAGTAGAAATTCATTGGCCGCACAAATCGCATGTGGATCGGTGAATCGGTGAATCGGTGGATCGGTGGAAAATCAGACAGTGAGAATCCCCCATTAAAAGAAAGGCAGACAGCGAAAAGGAAAGACACACTCCATCAGATCAGATGCGGATCACTGGCGGACCGTCCCGACTGCTGGGGGCCGAAAAAAATACGCAAAAATTGATGGTTAAAATAAATAAATAAATGAATTTTCGGTGGCAACGTACCACAACACATGGCAAAGTGCAGTGCGCGTTTCAGATTCCGATTCACATTCAGATTCACAAACAGATTCCTGTATCCATAATGAAAATGCCCAAAAACATAAGACAAAAATTCACAAAATTATTTCGAAAATAACCTGAAGAAAAGACTCATTAATTTTCCAATACCGTGTCAGAGTGAAAGCAAAAGAAAGAAGAAAAACCAAATGAAAGTATCTGACGGATGCGAGAATAGGTGTGCTGCTGTAATTTTAAACGCATTTTATGCGCTTGTTTTGACATTGAAATGAAATAACCATTAAAATAGTATAATTAAAACGGAGAAGATACCCAGAACCATAGCCAACACGGATACAGATACGAGATACACCTGAGAGATCACCAAAAGAAGAAGATTCATCTATAGGGAAGAGCTCCGGGAAGCAGTGAAAGATGACGACGCGTGGCATTCGCCGTAAGAAGTCGACGCTGACGGAGTTGAAGATAGCCGTGATTGGGGCACCCAGTGTTGGAAAGAGCGGTAAGATTCAGTAGCAAGTACTTCAGCAATAATTGGAGCAACAGAGCAGACATATCCGATAGATACTTGCGGCATGGATGCCGAGCAACAACAGCAAATTAGTTGAGCAATCGCCGAATCGTGTATATTTAGACTGTTGTTTGTTTTGTTTATAAAGTGGCAGCACACATACACATGCACATGAAGACACTCACAGACCAATCTGTGTCTGTCCCTCTCTTTCTCGCTCCCCGTATGTGTGTTGGTGTGTGTGTGTGTGTGTGTTTTTGTGGATGCCCCTACAAATGTAGCTGGCTGGCACTTTGGCATTGCCTGCCGCTTTAATCGCTTTTCCACCGTTTGATTTGACAAGCGCTGCGCCTTTGCCCCTGCCACCCTGCCAGTGCCACTGCCACTGCCGCTCTGACCAGGCCATGCCCTAATTTATGATGGGCCCCATGAGCACATCGAACAGATCGGAATGATGCTCGGGGCAGGGATCATTGGCAACGAGGCAACGTTGCATAGTTGCATATTTCTTCGATGCGGGCGACTTAGCGTTTAATTGATGTTCCCTGTCAGCCGTCACGTATGGCCATTCGCCTCCTTCCGGCCTCCATCCGAAAAGCACCGAAATAATTTTAATTTGTTACATTTTGTTAGGCCCCCTTGATCCCGGGGGTAAATTTATTCCCCGCCATGCAATCCGGCTGTCAACTTCGGGTTACACCTGCGTGCGATATGTCCCCCCTAGAAAGAGACAGAGCGAGTGCAAAAAGAGACTGGCAGCAGCAGCAGCAGATCGTGGACAGTGGAGCCGCATGAAATATGACTAGAAAATATGCTTCACTAATAAATATAATGTGGAAAAGCAAAAGGAAAAGACAGAAAACGAGACAGCGTGGCATGCAGCAAGTTGATGCCAGGGCGGGGCATAGATGACAGATGAATGAGCTACGCGCCAGCGTCTGCCTGGGTTATGGATGAGGCTGACACTCTGAAGTGCTGGGCTCCTATTTCGCAATGAAAACTTTGACTGAGAGACGATTTAGAGACTACTCTTTTGGATTGACCAGCTATGCACCCATCAAGCCCAATTTTCCTCCTGAGATTTCCTCATATAAATGAGAGCACACCTTTTAACAAATCAAATTACCCCAAAAGCAGTTCCAAGCAGTATTAGAGTATAGCGACAAATGCATATATGCTTAATAAATTTATAACCACATATTTTAATGTCATTCTGCCGCAATCTCAAAAATATTTAATGTATATGGAAGTATGTATGGGTAGTCTTTGTCGGGGGAGGCAATTAAAACGCCCACACGCCGCACGCCCATTGCCCCGAAAAATTCCCCGTGCACGCATAAACACGATCAGTGCCCAGCGGGCATACTCTCGCAGAAGACGCCAAAGACAGACCAGAGCAGAGCAGAGCAGAGCCACAACCATTGCCATTTCTGCGTCGTGTGTCGAAAAATTTAAACGTTGACCTCGTCGAAAATAAAAAAGAAAATTCGGAAAACATAAATTAAAACAGTCGTTGGCCGAATGTGTATGCGGTGTTGGGAAAATAAATGATGAAAATGTCGTTAAAAAGTCGCGAGGCAGCCAAGGCAACCCCCGTGCCGGCGTCAAAACACACACACACACACACACGTCCTCCACCGTCAGCGTCGTCCTTTCTGGAAGTGGCGCCTGAGGTTTCGGTTCCCAGGCGCTCGACTTGGTTTTTTTTGTTTTAGTTCCGAGTTCAAAGCACTTGCATAGGAAATGACCAGAGACCAGGCACCCGGCATCAGGCACCCGGCATCAGGCACCCGGCATCAGGCACCCGGCACGGGGCAAACACCCTCCCCTCCAAAGCAGGCCTACTCGCACGACGTGGAGGGACTTCACGTCCAGCTTTTGTTGCCACGAGACACGCAACATTAGGGCTCGGCGCTTTGTTGTTGTTTTGTCGCCGCTCTGTAGTTGTGTAGCCGAGGCGGGTTTATTAACCCCACAGGGCGCATTTTCCACCTGCAGTTGTCCCCTGCAATCCATTTGGTAGCTCTACTTCACGCTCGCTTAAGTACTGACCCAAATCCAGGGCTCGAGGGTTGCTCGGGGGCGAGGATACGTGAGACAGGAGACTGGAGGGCGTTCCCCTGGTTTACACCTGATCTGCCTGAATGATAAAGAACTCCAAATTAAATTCATGTTACGTAAATGGTTTCGCTTATTATATTTGATTGCAGCTTTAATCGTGCGCTTCCTAACGAAGCGCTACATAGGCGAGTACGATCATCAGACTGAAAATCGGTACAAGCACGAGGCCATGGTGGACGGTGAGCCGGTGCTCTTCGAGATACTCGACACATGTCCCAAGGTGAGTTTTGTCTTCTAAATAAGGGAGTTCCACTCACTTTCCGCCATTTTCCAGGCCGATGACGAGTTTCCCAATGCCGCGGAGCTGGTCCAGTGGGCAGATGGTCTGCTCCTTGTCTACTCCATCACCGATCGCAAGAGCTTCAACTATATACGCCGTGCTAAGTCCGATCTCCAGTCCGACACACCTGTCCAGCTGTGTGCCAATAAGGTCGACATGGTGCATCTGCGACAAGTGAGTCGCGACGAGGGCGAGATCTTGGCCAAGGACTTCGAGTGCAAGTTCAGCGAGGTCTCTGCCGCCGATCATGTCGATCAGGTGGCCGAGGTCTTCAACGAGCTGTGCAAGGAGGTGCTCGCCTCCAAGCGCAAGTCCAAGCAGAGTCTCCTGGAACGCATGCTCGGCGGCGCCCGACCCTACAGCCGGGGGAAGAGCGACAGCAACTTGCCAAAAGACTGACAGCAGAGGAGTGGGATTCTAAATGTAAATAAATGTACAATTTTTTTCTAAAGCAATATGGTTTTTCTTTGGGAATATGGGTGTGACGAGCGGAAACTTTGTGAGTCGTGGCAAGGCCCGCACCTCTCACTTTATACCCGATGCTCAGTCAGTTTATACGTGAGCTTATGATTAATATATTTTGTACGTACTTCTACGTAAGCGCCGGAATTGGTCTCCGAACCCAAGACTGCCGCATGCTCTCTCTCTCTCTTTCTATTTCCTTTGGTGTCGCTGTTCCAAAAAAAGGACGAATTGAATTTGCCAATGCGAAGAGGCGGGGGTCCCAAGAGGGGAACCACGACTGCTAGTTCTCTTTTAATTCCCCCTAATCACCCAATTGATACGAAATTTTTGAATCCTTTTTCTGCTGTTTTTTTCTGCGCTACGTCTGTCTCTGTCTTTTTCATTTCGTACACCGTTATATCTCTCTAACCTCCGCCAGGTGGCGCACAGAGAACGAGGTAGTGTGTGTGGGAGAGAGATAGAGAATGAGTAAGCGGGTGGAAGGGGATGCGGAGCCATCCATTCTTTATTATCAATCTGGGGTAGGCTTAATAAATTTCTATTCTCCATTTTCGAAGACAGTGTAATATCAGAGGATTCTGTATATACAATTTGGTTGCTCAAGCTCTTATAATCTCTGAGACAGACAGACAGCAATATCGACTCGGCTAATCAAGAATATATATACTTTATGGGGTCGGAAACGCCTCATTCTGGGTGTTGTACACATCACCCTCCATCTTTGAGTGTCGGGTATAAAAAATAAAAAATTGGTTAGTTATTATGTTTTGAGTTTAACGGAAATTTAAGACTTTCATTGCAATCAGCAGAAAAGCTCAGCAAAAGCTGCGCGATAAAGAGCGCTCTCAGTGGAAGCACATGAAAAGCTAATTTGTATGCGCATGTATATGTAGATGTTATGTAAGATACATGTCAGGCGACACAGTGGCGCCTCGCAGCACTGGTAAAGCTTCTTTCAAATGGATTTCCGTTACACTCAGAGTAAATAAATCAAGAAATTATTGACAAATTGTTATTAATATTCCCGGACGACATCGTTACGACATCGCGAGAAGAAATCCATCTAATAAAATAAACTAAATAAACCAAAAATTGTGTTGCACAAATGATTTTATTTATGACAAGATTAAGATATTATGACTGTTATTCCGTACAAATCACAGTCACTAACTCACTACGTAAACAATTCGCATAGTTTCTTTGGATATTTGCATCTAAGATTCCCGCATATGTCTCATTCAAATAAACGCCCAATAATTTGTTAATAACGCACAGAAAAATTTCCATAAAATCTTGGCCAAATCAACAAAATCCCAGAAACTTCATTCCCGGTCCAAGTGACGGACCGACCTTTGTCTGTCTTCCCCCAACTCTGGGAAAACTTCCGGCACGAAGGCGCGTGTGCACGACTTACTTTTAATTAGCCAGAGTCAACAAGTGGGCCAGTGAAGCGTGTAAATCTACTTAAAACTTTTGGCTCTAGGCTTTCCTCCTCCAATCATCATATGGATGTACCTACAGCGGTGACAAACAGCGCAATCATCTCACAGTGGACTCTGTTGACATTGCGTCAGCTCTCTTTTTGTCTCCGACTCTGTATCCCAATGTACTCGTATTTGACCAACTAAAACCGAAATATTGACATTGGCAGACGCTCCACATACTCATGAATGGAATAATGATGCGCAAAATCCATAAAAAATTGACTCTAAATCGAATGAATCGCGTGCCGTGCCGGACCGGGCCGCTGTTGCTCGCGCGCGGCAGGCACTATTCAGTCATTATCGCTCATACGCCCTAGTGGACAGGCGAAGTCAACTCAAGCCACCTGGCAGCGATAACAACGTCATCGGGCAGACCCGATGGCTCGCCGGCTGGTCGGCTTGAGGCGACTCTGCTAATGGGAAATTATATGCACAATTTTCTTGCAATTGTCTAACAGCAAAATGACGGCCACGGCAACAGCTCGGGGCATGAAATCTCACAGGTTTTCGCCCAAGTATTTTCATTATTTTTAATTAGCCTTGCATTTAAAATTCTAATTTTAATTTATGATCGAAAGTGGTCTATCTATCATGCTATAGCTGAAGCTAAAGCTGGCCCTTAGCTGGCTCTGGTCTGCTGGCTACTGGCACTTATCTGGGCCAGGTGTCGTTTCAATGTCTCGAATTCCGAGTCGAGTTGTTTGAACTGTTTAGCAGTCTGTTTAGTGCAGCTGGGCTGGTGCTGGTACTGGTGGCGTAATTGTCTGGCCAATTGGTGCTGTAATAGCTTTTAATTATGGATCGTACGACACTAAGTGTTCTGGAAGGAGCTTTGCATGCTATTCGACTACATTGAAGGTCAATTGTAGGGTTAAATGAAGGTCTAAAAGGTGTTGAGGATCTTCATTGATTGAAATTGGGGGGTCAGAGTTGCTCTCATTTTAGGGACTGCCTCTATTCGATTATTAAGATTAATTTATGTCTAAATATAGTCTAACGCCCACCCCGCCATTCATATGCTAAGCATTTCTTCCATATTCATGAGACCAGCTGTTGTAGCTCTCATGCAAATTCGTTGCAGACAACCCCTGGGTAAACACACACCCCAACACCTTCCCCCATCTGGGGAAAGGGAAAGGGGGTAGGGAAACCTGTTCGTACTCTAATTAGACCGAGATCTATTGCAATTATTAATGCGCGAAGCGATCATTTAAATTAGAATTGGCCAACAGGTGCGAGTTCGGACCAGAGCCACACAGAGTAGTGTGCAGTGAGCTGGCTAACGGTTTGGCTGCAAGATATTCACACCTCCAGTTTCCCCGTGGCATTCAGATTACGATTACCGATAGCTGTTGCCAGTAGCTGTGGCAGTAGCTGCTACCAGTTCCAGCATCGAGTGCCAGCTAAGTATGTTAGTGTCTTTTGAAAAGTTCAAGACTCAAGTTTGAATTGCAACTAATTGGCACGAAAAAATGGCGGCCAGAATGCCAAAACCCAAGCCCAAAGCCAAAGCCAAAACCAAAACCCAAAGCAGAATTTGGCCATGCACGCTGTAAGTCATTGACTTTGATTTTCGATTAGCCAAAGCCAAATACCACACACAAATCTGGCGCCGTAGACATGTTCTAGTTAATTCCTTTGGCTACTGTCAAAGCCAACGCGAAGCTAACCTTGGCTTTTATTTTGGGTTTTTTTTTTCTTTTCGGTTTTCGGTTTTATGCGGCTTTAATTAGCCAAATCTGGCTGTAAATGAAACGTGTTTCTGCTTCTGCTGCTGCTTCTACTGCTGGCAGCTTAATTCTTGTCTTTATTTTCTTCTTGGCAGGTGTAAAAAACTTCAACAATTAATGAAAAGTGTTTAATTGCAAAGTGCATTGGGCTTCCGGCAATTAGCCTGAAGCCAGCAGCGTCGTCGCCGGTTCAACAAACCTCTGCCCGACGCTGACTCTGTCCCAGAGCGTTTCCTGCAACCCTAACCCATTTGCTCAGTGACCTTGACAGAAGACCAAAACGACCAAAGAACTTTATGAACGTACGAGTATTCGAGCCGGACTTACCAAACGGCACGTAATCCACTCCATTCCACGCCACGCCACGCCATTCCAGCGCCTCGCAAGTCGAGTTGCTTTGCAATTGAATCAAGTGCAAATGTTTACACCCATCAAATACAGTACAAAGTAGCCCTGGTGCCGTAGCCAGCCAGCCTTTGAAGTCTGACCCAAATCAGTCATTGCAGCCCCAATCCAACAAAAGCCAACTAAAGTTGATAAATGCCTGCCAACTAACCTTAGATCCAAGCTGAACTCCGCTGGAAGCTCATTTGTTTCGTTTTCTTATAAAATAAATGCCATAATGGAGATATATCAGCAGATGTCATTAACTATAGCAAGTGTCAGGCAGGGTATAGCCATTGATCCATGAAGCTTGTGAATGCTATAGGATTACCCCTTAGGAACTATAGAACATGCCTTAAAAAAATCATTTTAGCTATGTTTAGTTGATTTGGGTAAGAACCCATTCAATCGCATCAGTGAAAACCCTTACACAAAAAATACTCACATAAACACTTCCTCCCATAAAAATTCCACGTGTTTCAGTTCATCAAACGACAGCCAGGCTTAGTATACTTACGATTATAATTTACTCGAATAAGTGCATCAGTTTAAATCATCTTAGTGATCAGCGCAGTGCAGCGCACCTGCGAGGGCATTCAAGTTTCGATTCATCAACCCTTATCGTTCTGATTTCATATTAATTTCATTTTAATTGAGCCGCAACGTGGGCGTTCCCACGAGTCCATTCTATATCGCCTACATCCGATCAGCTGCCGCTAATTGTTGCCAAGTCCGAGTCCACGGTTCTGTCTCTGTCTCCAGCTGCTGTTCTACCCGCAAACTATTAACACATTCAAATTCGATTCACACAGCAGCCAATTATTATATCACAAATATACGAGTACTCATACTCGCACTCGTATTGTAATTGGCATATGATAAATTCGCTCAGGTGTTACGATATTTTTATTTATCATGTTCTTTCTAAATTAAAATAGGCTGAGGTAGGTCATGTTGTCAAGCAGCTGTCGCTTTTGATAATCTACTCAAAAATATATACATTTAAATAGTCAAATCTTCAAGTCCAAAAAAAAATAAACTAAAAAGAAAAGTAAAGTTCTATGCCACTAATTACAGATTGCTCGTGTGTAATTAAGCGCTAATTAAGCATTAAAGCTGGATAATTAAAATAAATTGGCATAAATTGAGAAGTTGAGAATAGAATACAACAATTCCATCAAAGGCCCCATTCCGATTCATGGCTAATCATGGCCACAGGATCTCCCTATGTGTCTGAGTCTCCCCATAAAAAACGAGCGGTAACATTGTAACTCGCAGCTAGGGCCGCGACTCTACATATATACCCGATACTCAGTCAGTATGGTTCCTCTCCGCCAGTAGGCGCACACTGCACGGTGAAGAGTGCTTGTGTGTGAGAAAGAGAGATG